CTGGGACAGGGGAAGGTGTCCCTGCCATGGCAGGGGTGGCACTGGATGATTTTTCAGGGCTCTTCCAACCCAAGCATTCGGTGATCCTGCGATTCTCCTAAATCCCAGCTCAGAGCCAAGGGGAAGCCTGATGGCTGCCCAAAGTGAGATCCCCTCCCTGTGGGACAGCCAGGACAATCTGGGGCAATGTTCCCTGCCCAGACCTTCCCTAAAACTTTCTGGCTGCTTGCAGGAAAGTGAAAATCACTCCTATGGTGCTGTGGTGGATTTTTGCTTTCCCATGTAATGCTGCTGATTCAGCCTTCAAGTTCTTAGAAACAGAATGGTTTGGGTTGGAAGAGACCTGAAAAATCATCTTATGGGCAGGGACACCTTCCCCTGTCCCAGGCTGTTCCCAGCCCTGTCCAGCCTGGCCTTGGGCACTGCCAGGGATCCAGGGGCAGCCACAGCTGCTCTGGGCACCCTGTGCCAGGGCCTGCCCACCTTCACAGGGAAAAATTTCTTCCCAATCCCTTTTTCAGTTCAAACCCATTCCCCTGTGTGCTGTCACAACAGACCCTACTCACAGTTTTGCTTCCATTAAGTTCCAAAAATTTTCTGTGCTGCTCCCTTGCAAGTGGCAAGAAAGATGTTTGGGCATGAAAAGTTTGGGAAGAAAGCAGCAAGGGCAACCTCCATGAAGCAGTGGGATCAGGGCTGGGCTTTGAGATTGTTAAAAACACCTGGACAAGGTGCACCTCACTCACATTGAAGCTCCACAAACTGGACCATCCATCCAGGTTGCTGGTGCTTTTTCCAATACCCCAAATTTGCCAAATTTGCCTCAAACCTGGCAGGGACCAGCTTTGTCCCTGTGCCCTGTGTTGGAGGTCCCTGCAGGATGTTTGCATTTGTCAAACCTCCAAGCTGGAAAAACCTGTGATGTTGTTCTGGGTGAAGATGTGGGCAGGGTAGAAGAACTCAAGGCAGAAATCCCAGTTTAGAAATCCTCATCTCCCCTCCTGTGAGCAAACATGATGAGGGGGACAGAAGAGTGTGACCATGTTCACAGGGGTCCCAGGATGAGGGAAGAGACAAGGATCTGACTCCATGTTTCAGAAGGCTGATTTATTATTTTATCACATATATTATATTAAAGCTATACTAAAAGAATAGAAGAAAGGATTTCATCAGAAGGCTGGCTAAGAATAGAATAACAAATCATGATAACAAAGGCTTGTGGCTCAGCTCTCTGTCTGAGCCAGCTGACTGTGATTGGCCATTAATTACAAGCATCCAACATGAGCCAATCACAGATTCACCTGTTGCATTCCACAGCAGCAGATAATCATTGTTTACATTTTGTTCCTGAGGCCTCTCAGCTTCTCAGGAGGAAAAATCCTAAGGAAAGGATTTTCCATAAAAGATGTCAGTGACAGGAGAGCCAGGCTGCTGCTGTCAGAGTGACACAAAGAGCTCCTGCAGGACACGGGGGCTGGGTTTGCTTTCTGCTCTTCCTTCTCCTGCTGTGACAGTTCCTCACTCCCCTGGGGTTTGCACCACCTGGCTCTCAATTACCCTCTAATCTGGGAAACGAGGCACTGAGAGCAGGGAGGGGACAGCTATCAGCACTCCAGTGCCAGCCTCGGGCTGTTCCTGGGTGTATTGCAGGATTTTTAAGGGATTCCTGCACGTGTGCAGCAGGGGGACAGTGTGTGACATTGCTGTCACAGGAAGAGAGGAGAAGCAGGGGCAGGGAGAGGAGTTTGCTGGCATCCATCCCCCTCCCTGCATGGAAAAGGGGCATGTGCAGGTGGGCATGGCCTGTCCTGGGGTGTGGGAGCTCACTGGGACCCTGGAGTGATCCTCACCACCCCTAAAAATGGCCCAGGGTATCCCTGAATGTCTGGGGTGCAAAGCTCAGTTAATCCTGCTGCGTTTTCTTCTCACCTGGCAGTGGCACACAGGGTTCACAGGGATGAACCCCTAGGGAACCCTGGGCAGATGCCAGGCTCCAGGGCTGTGTGGAGGCTCAGGTGGCAGGGCTGGTGTCACAGGGTGCTGGAGAGCCCAGCCTGGGCGCAGGTGATGTCCCCAGCTGCTCCTGGGGTCACTGTGGTGGGGCCTCAGTGCTGCCCAAGGGGATGGCACAGGCAGGAGGGAGGGAGGGCAGCAAGCAAGGAGAGGGAATGGAGTAGGTTTAGATTGGATATTTGGAATAAATTGTCCCCTGTGAGGGTGCCCAGAGCAGCTGTGACTGCCCCTGGATTCCTGGAAGTGCCCAAGGCCAGGCTGGACAGGGCTTGGATCACCCTGGGACAGTGGAAGGTGTCCCTGACATGGCAGGGGTGGCACTGGGTGGGCTTTATGGTCCCTTCCACCTCACCTCAAGTGATTCTGTGATTTGAGGAAGTGGCGGAAGGAAGTGGCGGAAGGAAGGAAGGAAGGCTCCTGGCAATCTCATCCTTAAGTGTCTTTGGGACTGGGAGTGCCACTGCAATATCTCTGGTGGTTTTGGTGAGGCTGGGGGCACAGCCCCTTCCACCCCAGACCTCTCCTGTCTGGAGCTCAGTTTCCCTTGCAAAAAACTGGGATAATCCTGATACTCTGTCCTGGATGTTCTCTGGGGTGGTGGAGGTGAAGAACCCCTTTACACCTTTGATAATTCATGTCCAAGTGTTACTCCTTGTTGCCTTTTGTGTTTTTTCCATTTCTAACTGATCTTGTGGCATTTGTGGGATGGGGGATGAAGGGTGAACTCAGAGCTGTGGAAATGCCCCTGCTGATGGCAGCAGTGGTTACTGGGATGTCCTGGAATTCCCAGGAATATGTGTGTGTGCTGTGTGGGTGTTTCTGACCCACAGAAACAAACACATCTGCTCTGACCCAGCCCTGCTGGGTGTACCAGGCTGGCTGGAGAGGTCACTGCCCCCCAGCTGATGGCTCTGCTGGATCCCACCTGGACACACATTCCCTGCTGGAATGCAGGGACAGAGTATGAAATATTAACAGCCATGGTTCAAATGCCCTTTTGCAGTTGTTAGAGGAAGGAGGCCAGTAAGTGGTGCCAAGTGGGCGCTGTGTTAAAGAAGAAATCCACAGAGGAGAAAGGGAGGCTGATTTCTGCAGGGGCTGCCTGGCTCGTGTGTGGCAGCAGCAGAGCACCATGCACAGGCTGCAGGGCCCAGGGGGTTGTGAGACACCAGTGATGGGGCCCAAACCCTCTGAGCATTCTCCAGCCTTGGCCTTGCCTTGTCCCTGCTGCCTGCATGGGCAGTGGTCCTGGAGAGCTCCATCTGCAGAGCCACCAGGTCCCCCTGCCCAGCCCTGCCAGCAGTGTGGCCATCACCCTGCCTGACCCTGTCCTGGCCATCTGGTGGCCCTGTCCCACCTCCCATCAGCCCAGGCACATCCCTGCACAGACCTGTGATTGTTAAATAACCCCACAATCTGGGATGTTCTGATTTATTGTACCGCTTCCCTGTCACACTCTGAAGTTTCTTTCCTGTTCCATAACACAAAATGCACTGCAGCAGTGAAGAGAGGAGCTGCTGTTTTTTGGCTCACAGATCACTGTGGCTCTGGCTCCCAGCTGAGCCTTTATTTCATTTTTAATTCTCCCAGTGGACACAGCAGAGCAAGAAGTTGGTGGGCTCTGCCCACACTGTGTCCCAAGGTGGCCCCAGGGCCACTGGAATTCAAGGGTGACAAGGTCTCTGAGATGACCCCAAGGTGTTAGAAAGTCTCTTTTTCCCAGCCAAAGAAGAAGATGGGATTCCTTGGCTCTGTTCTCAAGGTTGTTTATTTGCTCTTATCTAATACATTGTCTGTCTGTCCTGCTGAGATCTGTCTAGCAGGTTGGGTTAAGGCACACTGACCACCCTCAGGGTGGTGTTATCTTTTTATACTAAAAACTGGGTGTACTTTATTTACAATAATTTTCCAGTTCCTATCACCTATGTTAGACAGTCTGTCTCTCCTCTGAACCAATCCAAAAGTGCCACCATCACAGCAGAAGATGGAGGCTAAGAAAAAGGAGAAGAAGAACAGAACATGTCCAAGGATCCCAAGGAGGATCCTGTCCTGCCTGGCAGCCACGGAAAGGGGTTGGAGAGGCTCCCAGCTGCTGTGATGGTGATTTCCAGGCTAACAGTGACACCTCCTGTTTGCACAAAGTCCAGCCCAAAGCCTGGCGTGCAGGAATGCAGTGCAGGTGCCAGCAGGAGCACGTGGGCTGATCACTGCTTACTTACATCACTAATATCCAGGAATCCCAAGTCCCCTTCCAGGTGTGAGTGTGGCCTCACAGGGACAAACTCATCCCTGTGCATGGTGAGGGGTGGGCAGTGTTGGCAGAGGAAAGCCTGGAAAAGTGGGCATGAACTAAGGTGCTGGATGCAAACTGCTTCACAAAGAGTTCTTTGAATTGTGGTTTAGCATAGACAGGTAAAAACTTTGGTATGACAGCATTAAAGCTTTCACTTAGATGTGAAATGGATTTAAATCTTGGTTTCTCCCCTAAAAGCTACTTTAGAATCACAGAACACCCTGAGTTGGAAGGGACCCACAAGCATCATTGAAGTTCAGCTCCTTGCTTGTTACAATTTATGTCTTTATAATAAATTTCTTAATTACAATACACTATAAGCATTTCTTGGCCTATCACCTTTAGCTTCTTCTGTCAAGTTTGAAGAATTTTCTACAAATCCATTTCCCACAAACATCCATCCCCTGAGGAGCCAAAATGGCTCCTGGCCCTGCATAGAACCAGCCAGGGGCCAGCCTGATCAATTGATTTCCAGAATCAAGAATTTAGATTGAACTGAAAATAGATTGAATTGAAAATAGATTGAATTTAGGATTGACTGTGCCAGTGGTCTCCCAACACCCAGGGGCTCCTAGAGATGGGATCTGACCAGCTGAAATTGAGGAGCTGCTTTCTCCACTGACAGCTTTTCCCCCCACCCTTTTCTTTGTGAATTCCTCCTCATACCCTTCTTCCTCCCCACCTCTCCTTGCAGGCATCCAAGATGTCCTTGAAGGTGCAGACCAGCAACATCACCAACAAGAATGACCCCAAGTCCATCAACTCGCGGGTGTTCATCGGCAACCTGAACACGGCGGTGGTGAAGAAGTCGGATGTGGAGACCATCTTCTCCAAGTACGGCCGCGTGGTCGGCTGCTCCGTGCACAAGGGCTACGCCTTCGTGCAGTAC